GTGACCCTAAGCATTAATTTTAGGGTCCATTGAATATTCTATTTAAAATTCATAAAGTTTAATTATTTCTTAGCATAAACTGATCGAAACTTTTGTTCAGATTTATGCTAAGAAACAATTAAAACTCTACTTCACATATCATATCTAAATTTTAAATAATTTAATATTAAATTAGTCTATCTGTTGGTATAATGGGCTCTTCAAAACTACGAATTATGCAATGCAGATATGACTGGGTAAGTATGCAGGTAATCATTATGATGCATTACAAGAGGATGAGAATGTTTACAAAAACATTACATAATGATAGGGTGCCAAACCTTAAAAACAGAATGAATCATTTATGGTTCTGAAGTGTTACATAGTGAACTATACTGCTTATGCCATTGCTTTGTACATTATGCATGTAGTTAATACAATGTGATAGTCAGTGTGATAAGAGATTGCATTTGGTCAATACTAATTGTGTCTGTTTTAGGGGTTATAAAGTGACAAGATGGGGTAGACTCTCCATGTCAAAACTTTTCTCTATTATCCTATAAGCAAACTTATCTCTTTAAAACTTCTTTTCAGGACTCTATTAAACTTGCTATTGTATATAATGTGGGAGACTGATTATTAAATCCATATATCACCTTCCAGCCTTTCATATTTTTCAAATTATCACCCAGGTTACAGAGTACAGGGTTCACTTTTGTTTACACAAATGTTCTTGCTATAACTGATCAAGCTTGTACAACATAAATAATTGCATGTGTAGCACAATTATCACAGAACTATTCCATTTTGCCACCATATCTCTCCTAAAATAGGCGCATTAGTATTGACCAAGTGAAATCTCTCATACCAACTATAACTTTCGACACTGCACTGTGTATTATTCATTAGTACAATTAACAGGGGTTGATTAAAATTATATGTTACTGTATATAATTTTGGGGTAGGTATGTGCAATAACATTACAGAGTTTTACAGGGGAGAATGTAGTTGAAAATTGTAAAAATAGCATTATGTAATTTATGGATGATTCCTAATTAGGTTAGAATTTTCTATTGATGTTACAGAGTAAATCTCCAAAAAATATATAAAATGACTATTAAAAATTCAGTTTCTACAAGAATTTTTGGTCTGTAGAAACCTCTTATTAATTTCAGTATCCAATGACAATATTATCAATACATTTTGAAAGACAGGCTGATATTTTCAATGAATTGGACAAATAGCCAAGCATTATGATATCAGCCTGTTGCTCCGAAGGATCTAGACTCAAGATCAGAATAGCAGACTGATACTTTAATCCACTGAGGATTTGACTCAAACGTGGATCAATTTTCGGAAATTTTTATGGGTGTTTGATCTGAATATGTTGGCTCTATCCTTTCTTACTTGGACTTGTCTGATCATGACAGACATAAAAAAAGTTTCTTAATGCTTGCAGATTTAAAAAGTTTATCAAACACTTAGTTCCTACTATAAATTTATACTATTTAAACTCTTACTTTGACTAGTGAGGAAATCAGCAAAATTCCATATTAATTCACCAACAAAAAATCCTTTCTGATATAATAAATCAAATCCTTTGTGATACTGAATTATAAATTCTACTTGATAATCTTCAGTGAAAACATATGATGGGTCCTAGAATTAGGAAAACGAATTTAATAGTGGGAAACATCTTATAGTACATATTATTATTATTTAATATTTATCTTACAATGTGGAGTCCAGCAATAGTATCAGCTCCATATTCACTTATCATAACTGGTTTTAAATATTTCTTATGAAAACTTGTCACGTCATACAGTAACTGTTTGACAATAACTTCGGTATGACCAATATCACTATACCATCCATAATATCTGTTTATCATAATTACATCCAGAAACTGACCCTGACATAATAGGAAAAAAGATTAGTAAAGTATAGTTTGTTTGAGATATTTTAATAATGTATGTTACAATTTTATCTGAATTAAAATCTGCACTCAATGCTACTGTAACAGGTCTGATAGAATCCAATTTCTTAGTATGCTGCACCACTTTCCTGAAAATTAAGTGAAAAATATATAATGAATATTAAATTTTTAAATATTCACTATGATGTATTTAAAAATTATGTAAACTGCATAATTAATATTTAATTCTTAAGAGAGAGCCCAAAGAATGGCTACCAATCTAAAGAAAATAGCACAGCAGCATATACAGGTGCCATTGTTGGAGAACCTGGAAATATATTTATGCATAAAATTGTTTTACAGATCCCAAAAAGGTTAGGCACATATGTTTTGTTAAGAAGAGGTAATATTAATAAGTTATTCTGTCCAATGACCTTAATCAAAAACAATAATTTTTAAAATTTCACATAAAATATATTTGAAGAAACACAAAATCTTCACTATCCGTCCATACCACACCTCAGGAACAGCCTTACAAAGAGTCAATCTTTTATTGTAGGCTCTTTTATCTGCCTCGATATGTTTTACATATTGAAGTGGGTAAGACAATATGTAAAACATAATTTTTTGACATTTTAAAATATAATTGTTATCCAGGCTGGTTAACTAGTTTTTATTAATACAGTTGTTCCTCTATAGTCCGACGTTTTTTAATCCGACATGCTCAGTAGTCCGACGCACCTCCTGTCAAGGTACTCGTCCCCGTTACATGTCTGCTTGCACAGAAGCATGTCGCGATGTGAATCTCCCCATCCAATTCTTACTCGATGACACACATTTCATGTGTTTTATGTGAGCAGTTCTGTTCGAACAGTTGGAGTAGAGAATATTGTAGGCTACTGCTAGCAAAACAATGCGAAATATGTAATTATTTTCGGTAATCCGGACACTTTTGGTAATCTGACACACCTTTGGTCCCATACCTATCGGATTATCAAGGGACAACTGTACTAATATTTTTCTTACTCAGGTATTTGGGAGAAGCCTGAAATGATTCAGAATTAAAAATTATATTTTAAGTCCAAGAAAGCAAAGGCATATGCTTCCCTCATGCTATTTCCTGAATACTCCCTGAAACAACAAACACACAAATTGCCCATTTGTGACATAGAGAGAAAACAGTGATAAAACCAACAACTAGAAGTCTCGAGGTCCTGCTTACAAAACACTTTACCTAAAATAATCTTCAGAAGATGCTTCTGTCGAATGAGGTTCATTAGCAACAGACCACATGACAACCGAAGGACGATTCTTGTCTCTCTGAATTAATTCTGTTATTTCAGCCAAATGAAGTTTTAATAACTCAGAGTTGAAGCGACTATGTCAGAAAAACACAAAAATAAATCAAAACGAGTAAGTTGTCTTATACAAAAAGCAAAATATAATGATAATTTATCAAATATTTACTCTAAACCAACTGCTGGACACTCGTCGATAACTACTATTCCTTGAGCATCCGCTTGATCCATCATTTCTTCTGAATACGGATAATGGGATGTTCTAAATGCATTAGCACCTATCCATTTAATTAAATTAAAATCCTTGATGATAAGAGGAAAATCGAGACCTTTTCCGCGAATCTGGAACAATATTTTTATTAAAACATTTAAAAAAGTGTCTAAAATTTATTTACACTTTAAAATTTTTAATCATTTAACTTACATTTGCATCTTCATGCTTTCCAAAACCCATAAATCTAAATGGTTTATTATTAATTAAAAATGAAGTATTCGTTACTTTTACTGTTCTAATTCCAATAGGTTGATGATATACATCGGTAACGTTATTAACTGTAAGAGAAATCTAAGAAAGAAAAAATTAGAAATAGTTAACCACTTTTGCATTTCTTTTCTTATGTTTATACCCATAGAATAATCTATTCCCATTTTGAATTTTAATATAATTAGGTGTTTATCTGAATTCTTTTGATAATCTTTGCTGAATGCATCAAGTGTCCGGTACATTTGAAACTGAAATTTAGGAGTTTAGATTTAGATGCTGATCGTCAGTGAGGCCTTCTAATCTTAATTCTGTAATTAGTGTAACTTTTTATTTAAGAGATTTCAAGTTTGGAAACATATTTTATATTTTCTCCTTAATCTCAAATTTCTTCTGCAACTCCTTTAGAGTCATGACTCAAACTATACATAGTAATGTAAATTAAAGTTGTCGGTAATACAGTTTTAATATAATTTTTATAATGTTATAGCTTGCAAATAATTTTTTAAATATTTTTTTGTTTTTTGAAATGTTCCGAAACATAGAATGTTAGAATGAAGAATAAAAAGTACCAGTCGACCCCCCTATAACACTGTTGATAATTCCGTTTTATATGAATTCCATGTTGTACGAGTCACTTAGATTTTACAAATACGTGTGCCAGGCTGTGAACGGCTCACGTATTTGTAAAATCTAAGTGACTCGTACAACATGGAATTCATATAAAACGGAATTATCAACAGTGTTAT